TTACAACAAGAAGTTACAAGATTCCGCAAGATCATACATGATCTTGGGATAAGATCTTACAAGTTCTTGCCAAAAGATCTTGCAGCAAGATTGCATAAGAAATCGTCAGATCTTATAAGATCTTGTAAGACGTCTTTCCCCTGGGTAAAGAAAAAGGAGTCTTTGGGCTTCGGAAAAACTGCCTGATTTGTCTAAACCTTGCAAGATAGAACTTTTGTTTAGATCTAGTTTTGTAGGGGATACTTTGAGCTATCTATCTATGTAAAAAAGTCAATAGACTCCTATGGCAGTTTTCAGAAATCCAGCGTGGTTTTCCAGGGATCCGATTTTGATCTTCATCTTGTTCCTATCAAAAGTTATTCAAAAAATAACCGAGTGCGTTGACTTCTGGAACGGATAATAATTCATTTACAGTTGTATCTTGTATTTTATCAATAATTGCTGCCCAAGCGGGTTTAACTGGAAACTGTTGTCCAAGAAATTGACTTTGAACATTCATAGGAATATTTTCATCCGATTCAACATTTGTTCTTTCTATACATATACTGTTCAATTCTCTACAATGAACACAATCCCGTCTATGTTCAATACCAAATCGAGCTTCGTATGATTTCAACACAATTTTTCCTACTGTTGTTTCATCATCATAGTAATATAAGAAATCAATAATTGTACAAAAACGCACTTATACGCATCTTATACTCTTTGAATTTGGAATGCCTTACCTGTATGTCAATAAACCGCGATAAATATTTATCGGACTTTAACTTGGTAAAAGTATGATCGTTGTATGTGTGTTCTTTATTTTTAAAAAGAAAAGTATCGCGATAAACTCCCATAGATTTTTATCAAGTATGATTGTGATGAAAGGGTCATCTCGACAAGAAGCTAAAAGTATCACGGTTAAATGTTTATCCCAATGAATGAGGTGATTAATTTTTATCTCGATATGAAAGAATTATTTAATATTGCGCAATCAAAAGGCTCTGTCTTGTTATATAAAAATATCACGAGTTTCTAGTTATAGTATTTGTGCTTTTTTCAAGGGTCATGTGTATATTGTGTTTCAGCATGTTTCCTCTTTGCCAGAGATTCTCTTTCCTTCGTTTTGAACAAGAAAATCTTTGCTGCAGTTTGAATTGGTAGTATACTCCATTTCTCTTCGAATCCCTAATCGACACTCCCCAAGAAAGTCAACGGAGAGTCCCGTAAAAATCTCTGAGGACGGTCTGTTGGCCCATCATTTTTAATTTCATATAACTGATTAGTAATTAAGTGCCCGGTACCATCACTGGTACCAGTGTAGCACATATCAGCCATGGAAGGTTGACACATTAATGTTGACTTTGAGAACGATCCTGCCCTCGGGGATTATGGATTTTTCGCGGAGTCCCCGGAGACTTTGAGGGGAAGAGTCGACTAGGAATTTGTTTTCTCGCTATTATGTGGAATCAGGGAGACTGATTCATATGAAATCTTGTAAAATCTTGTGATATGATCTTATAAGATCATACAACATCTTGCAAGGTCATTTGACAAGATTTGTCAACCTGAAGAGATATTCACTATTCTACACTATAGAGAGCGCTGCGTTTTTTGAATACCCCGTACGTATAGCAGAGCCGAAAAAAACACGAAATTAAATCTCATCCAATCAATTTGAGTTGCTCAACAACGAAAAACTGCACGAAATAAGTACACGTCCACACCACATGTTGGAAAACGCTTTCCCGGTTTCACAAGCTTGTGTATCCCCGTTATACGTGAAAGTGGTGCGCTTGTGTGTATTATTCATAACACCACTTCACATTAAACTGTATGTTAATAACACTGTTTACTACATCGGTTCGATAAACTATTAGTGACCTTCGCCATACGTTTCCAGGAACTAGCGCCCTCTACAAACGGTAACAGAATTTGATAGGCAACAGCTGGAGAAAAAAAGATATCGCTTTGTAAAACATTAACTGAAATTAGTTTTGAGTATATATTAAATTATTCGTCGAATTGGCTGACATTGTTTTACTATGTGATAAAACATGGAGGACAAAAAGCAAAGCGAAACAAATAAAAAAACAACTCGACGTATTAATCTCTATCTCTGTAGTTTATCAAGACTATTTTTAATAAAAGTTTGATTTGTGCTTCCTTAGACTATGCTCGATTCTATGTAAAGATTTTGTTTTGTCTCATTGACAGCTGCATCCTGCTGAAGATATTTCTCTCTCTGATTTTAGTTTATCACTTCCCACGTCACCGCATCTATCCGATATCAAATCTCCTGCCACTGATGATATTGACGGTGATACTTCGTCAGTTTATTCACAATTAACTTCAATTAGTCAACGGCGACAATTACAACGACGAAAAACATTTGAAACAGATGATGAACAAGGTACATTTTGATTTACAGATAGACGGTTTACTTTCAAAACACGAGATGGTGCGCACTTTCCCCAAGTTTATTTTTCAGAAAGTTGTATTGTTTTCCATTATCTCCTGCAGTAAACTTTTATTCTGATTTTTAAAGCAAAATTTGTTAATTTTTGTATTTCAGACAGTACAGATGGTATTGAACTCGATTGTGGAGCTGTACTCAACGATGTAAGTATTTATATTGGACGTAAAATCAATATATTTAGAGAAAGATCGTTTTCTTGGCGTTGTGGTCACAATGCAAGTATGCTTTTTTTGTAGAAAAGTGATTTATGTCAATAGCTTTGTATTGTTAGACTGATCATTTTAGTCGTAAACCAATGTATGCAAAAAAAAGGAGCGCTCTGCATCTATTTGTTGTTGAGACTAGCGAAGATACAATTTCTTGCACTCACCTGTAGAATTGAATAACTGTATTACTTTTGGAGCTGTGCCAATGCGTAACATCTACCATTGTTTTTATTCTTTAAATGAACATTTTTATCAGCGTTTTCGATATACCTTTGGCAAGGTGTTTTACGTTTTTCTCAAAAAAATTTAGCTGATAATAAAAAAAAAAGTTTTCTGAGTTAGTAAATCTTTGTGAACTGAGTAATTTTTTTTAATCAGGTGAGTCATTCATTTCAAACATGGTGGGAAAATTCCCGCACCTAATCGAAAACGCTGATTTTTATTGTTCTTTCTCTTTTAGGTTTTTCAATCGTCTACAGCCGATTCCCGAACAAAATACTTGACACTTCATGCTTTAAATGTTTGTTATCAAAAATCATTATATGAATTAAATGAAAAACTTGAACATGTACCACAAGAACGGGTAATTAAATAATCTCCCTTTTGGCAAGTAAATAATTGCAAAGAAGAAAAGTAAATACTTTATTTTCTAAAAATATAACACATTGTGAGTATTTTTTGTGACTGGCAGTTCATATATTTCCCCCTAAACGAAAAGTTTTCTGTCTTCCTCATGCCGAATACCAAGAAATTCGCCGTAGTACACTTTCGCAGTAGACTTTCGGCAAATGCCGAAAGTTTGGTTGGAGTGGTAGAACTCACTAATATCAACCACCTATAACAAAACTTTCGGCAATTGTCAGAGGTCATGCCGTAAGTCGAACTTTCGCCGTAACCGCGGTCAGAACTTCGGCAATTGCCGAAAGTTCAGTTTCAGTTAAGGGTGATTTTTAATCCACGGCATAACTTTCGGCAGTTGGCGAAAGTCCACTGTGAAAGTGTACGGCGGCGCATTTTCCGTTGCCCCTCATGCCAACGACTATAACAATATAAAGATAACGCTGATTTTGAAGGATAAAAATGATAACGTCTCTAATCACATCAAAAGTTTGATGAAAGCATATTGTTGTTATCTATTCAACGACAGCAGCCAGCGTTTTCGATAGAACTTTTGGTGGGGGTGGAGAGTCTGCTGAGTAACTAAAGTTTTTTCTTGAGTAACGCATTTTTTGAGTAAAATCTTTCTTAGTAACTGCATGGTTTAAGTTAATTGAAGACTGCAGTCTTCAATTAACCGAAAAAACTTACTCAGGTGCATAAGAGCTAGTTTCTCAGCAAATAAATGAGCTAGTCAGAAACTAGAGAAAATTACTTACTCAGGTGCATAAAAGTCAGTTTCTCAACTTAGATTTCTGAATAAGTCAAAATTTTTTGAGAAACTTTATTCAAACGAGGGGATAGAATATTTAAAGTTATAGAAACGAGGGAGGAGAGTTTCACTCCCTAATCGATAACGTTTAAGCACCGTTAGCTTTGAGCTTCATCATAAATAAACAACATTTCTGAATCAGCTAGTTTACAAGTGTGTGTGTGTGTCGGCTATCTTCCATTCATAAATAGTTTAAACCCAACTTGTGTTTTATTTACGAATCACACATCTGACTATGTAAATCATACTATTAAGCGTGGTTTCTCTTGTTTTAGACCACTTATAATTATCCAGTTGGAAAACGAGTATCAGAAGAAGATTTTTATCCAACAAAATATTATCCAGATTGGTCTGAAATATTTCAAAATGTAACTCATCGACTATGATCTTGTAACCTTTTGTTAATCTATTTTCATATTTAGTTTTGCCCTATTAATGATGATTATGATGGTATTTATCAATTAGAATTATTACAAAATGCAAACAAAGCCTTCGTAAGAAAAGAAGAATGTTGTAAGTATTTTTTTTTTCTATTTATACGAAACATTTTATGATCTTAAGAGAAACAACTGACTATTCTAGACTAATTTTTTATGCTGTATCAAAATAACTTGCTCACCTTTCAATAAACAAAACGTTACTTGAGTAAAATTTTTGTTTTTTGTCTTTTGAGGTGAAAAAAATTTCATTTTAAATTTGACCAAATTAGTTGTGAAAGAAATGCGCGATATTTGGTTAAGATGGTTGAAAGTCGAGTATGTTTAACGTGATCCCTCTTTTCGTTCCTATCATTAACTCTTTTTTTTTTCTCACCCGTGCAGACTCAATGTAAACAATGATCGTCTACAAGAAACAAAAAATGTAAAAACTCGAAAATTAACACAACAGAAAATCGATACCTTTCAAAATGATATTCAACAATTAAAGTAAGTAAAGAAAAGTGTATTCTAGAGAAGACAACAGATGATTTACTTGTTCGATTATTTTCGTTTCTATGCTGGAACATTATGACATTCTTGTTTACTTAACTATTTCCTTTAAATTTATAGTAACAGAACAAATTTGGAGATAATATCCAAAATTGAGCTACTTGAACAAGTTGATTGGCAATCAATTGCAACAAAAATGGTAGAATTTTTATACATACGTACTGCCATATAGTTCTCATTTCATTTTTGTTCTTTTAGCGATCCTATAGTTATAAGCATGTTACCAGTTCATCGTTAGAATTGTTTTGGAAACGACGATGTCAGTATGGTCAGGAAAATATTTGGACAAAAGAAGATGATCAATATTTACATACTTTAGTTGAATTGTATGGATGGGGACAATGGGATCAAATTGCACAAGATCCACATTTTCAAGTAGGTGTATGATACAACATTTATACAAGACATTTGTTTATCTTTATCTGTCTGTTTGTATTCTAGAATAAAAAATCACCTTTTATGTTAGCACAACGATATATGACAATCGATAATGTTAAACATGCTAAACGGTATGTAGTTACAGCCCATTAGACAATATGTATTTTAGAAATTTAACATAACGGGCGGAGCAGAAGAAATCGACCACTCCATATTTTGAAGTTGGTTACCGATCCTGACGTTTTAAAATTCAACTGTTTTTTTTGTAAGAGATTCACCATTTAATTGTCTACAGAATAGTATATAGAAGTTGATTCTGAGACTTGACATGCCGTTTTAATTGAACAAAAAATGATATATCCAACAAATTCAGAAGTTTAACTCGAAAAAGTGTGCCTCGTTAATATAAGGTTGAGTGTATGCGTTGTACCCACAGGGAACAGGCTAAACTGTAGCCGTTGAAATTTTCTATCGAATGGCTAGAGTGCGAATTTTCTGTCATTATTTCTGTGATACATACCCTTGCTGATATAATTTTTATTTATCGAATGAAAAATGACATTAACTATGTAGATATATTCAGATACTTGTATACTAATGGCAATTTTCTCAATGTTGATACGTGAACCGTATACATGTTTATTTTTAGACGTTTTACGCCTGATGAAAAATCTCAGTTATTGAAAATGTACAATGAACGAAAACAGAAACAAGATTATCGATTTTCAATCAGTTCAGGTATATATTTTAATAGTCATAGAAAGAGAGAACAGTTAAATTGATGTGTAATCTGACGAGAGAACAGTCCCAAGTGATCCATCCCGATTCATTTGATATTTTACTGATCGATAGGACTAATTGGTCTAATAAAAATCCAAAAAAGGGCTCGTTCCCATGCGACTTCGTTCACGAGTTATGATCGATTTAGTGATATTCGTCTTTTTGGTATATTTACTATCAGTAAGGGGACACCTTCTATATCCTGATCGGGATATATATCCCGATTGGGATATAGCTATATCCCGATCAGGATATAGAAAAAAAGTAGTATCCCGATCGGGATATAAAACACGAAATTTCGTCGT